CTCTCACAGATCCACTGAAAAATTTCAAGGTGTTCAGCGAGCCCATGCTGAATTATATACCTGAGTAAATTCCTGACAACAGAAATTAGGCTAACTGCTCTATAATTCCCTGTTTCTCTCCCTTGACCTTCTAGCTCAAAAAGTACCAGAGTTCATGGATGCCAGCACTTGTTGCTTTCAAATGCGTCATAAAATATTTATTTTTTCTAAAGGTCAAATCAAATCATTCTGTGCAGTAGTATTGGAACAATAGTAAAAATGTTGTTTAGAGTTAGCCAGCTGAGAGCAGGAGCCAGGGAGGAGATTATTTCAATAACAGAGTGAGAAAACTGGATGCTAAGCTGTCTGTGAAGATTGTCCACCTGTTGTAGAACACACTTGGTCTGCACCAATAGTTTACCATCTGAGCTGCAAAGGTTAAAATTGCCCCCAAGTCTAAATTGACTGGAACAAAGAATGTTAAGCTGGTATCTAACAGAGGTATAATGTATGTAAGATATTTGAAGATGTCAGATTACGAAAGATTATTTTCAGCAGTCAGTGAATCACATTGAAGGAGACAGAGACTGTGAATCAGTACAAAAAACATAAAGGAGAGAATGGATTCTATGACTGAAAAGCACTTATTATTATTGCTGCAAGTATCTATTAATCAATCAGTAAGCTGCAAACTATCCTCTAGTAAAAAAGTTGGCTTTGAACGAAGCTCAGGTCACAGATAGAGTACAAAGATTGTAACCCTTCATACCTTGATCCATACTTTCTCCATGTGCACCTTTTCAGTAGGAGTTCCAGACTGGAATTAATGTTTAGAGATATGAAGAAATAAAATATGAACAAGTGTAGGAAAGAACAAGGAGTTAAATGGGAAGAGAGCATTTCAAAATAGAAGTCACAATAGCACAGATACAATGAGTGAGTAGTTCCTTTCTGTGCTAAAAATTCTGTCATTAAGTGATTTTATGAGAACAGGATATCTTAAGTAAGGACAACTTGACTGAAGAGGCAAACCTGCAGTGTCAATCTTCGGTCAGCTTGCCTGTCCTCAATTTCATATAATTATCATTCTCCATTACTACTGATTATTTCAGATGGGTATTGCAGGCTACAGTTCATTTTATAAAACATGTAGATAACCATCTGAGATAGTAGGAACTGCAGATGCTGGAGAATCCGAGACAGCAAGGTGCAGGGCTGGATGAACACAGCAGGCCAAGCAGCATCATAGGAGCAGAAAGGCTGATGTTTCGGGCCTAGACCCTTCATCAGAAAAGCTTTTCTGAT